TCAAAGGCAGTTTGGCATTCTGGTGTCTAAATCAAAGTTTCTATTTCTGTTACATCTCATATAGGGGTTTGGCAATCAGTCGAAAATTAGGGATCCAAATATGTCAGAATCCTGAGAATGTCAGAACCCATGTAACTGTCTCTGGTTCCCAATTTCTCAGAGACAGTCTGCTTCTGATCTGATATCAAACTGTGGGTTCTTTGGCCAAGTTGGAATCTTGGCTAGGTGACTTGTTGTTTATAAACCCGAGACTTTTTTTTTGTGGGCAACTTATGTACTCAGGAGGTGCCGTGTTTCATTACAACTCTAGTGTTTAAAAAACAGTGTTTATAGTTGGGGCCAGCTATAAGCAGGTCATCCACATATTGCAAAAGGATTCCTTGATCTAGCCATAACCCTTGAAGATCTTCTGCCAGATTCTCGTTAAACAGTGTGAGAGATTTTTTAATCCCTAGGTTGGGACAGTCCAATAATACCAGGTGGTTACTGTAGTATTAGAGTCCTGTCACTCAACACAAAAGTATTGGGACCTTTTTATCTACATCCAGTGGGATGCAGAAGAAAAGCATCTTGTAAATCTATCCTGTGAACCAGTCAGTCTCCTGGCACCACAATCAGCAGAGTGTATGGATTTGGTGCTATGGGCTGAAGATACTGAATGATATTATTTATTTATAGCTCTTAAGTCTTGCACAAATCAGCACAGCATGAGGTTTTTCAACAGGAAGAATTGGAGTATTATAAGGGATCTGACAAAGCTGACTCAATCCGTGTTTTAAAAATTTGTCCAGAAAAGGCAGAATCCTCATTAATGCCTTTCACTTAAGGGAGATATTCTTTCTTAAGGAGTAAGTTATACCTCCTCCTTAGGTAAATCTTGGTTGGGATAGCACTGGTCACCCTTCCTAGGGTCCCTTCAGCCCATATGGCCTTACTCACTTTTTGAGCAGACCTCCACAGAGCAGGCTCCATTTCCTTGTCTTGGCTGGCAAGTGAAGGCAGGAACCAGGGCGGTGTTTTCTGGTGGCACTTGCTTTTTGGGTGAGAACCTTATTTCAGTTCTTCACTCACACAACAAATCTCACCCCAGGAGAGGGCTCCTCTGGCATCCAACAAGCTGATCTTTGTTCTCCCAGTTTGCATTCAAGAGGTTTGTGCAATGGATGCCATTGCGCCTGACTTGTCGCTCTTATTTTTGCAACATCATCAACTTTGAGCGAGCTTCCCGTGACAGTGGGCTCCTTCTTCTAACAGTGGGCATGCTAATTTTCAATGGAGGGTGGACCCTTCTATGCTTTTCTTTAGGCTTCCTTGAGGATCCCTTTGCACCTCCTGGTCATTATGTACATTAGGCAGTATCAAGTAGCTGTGAGGGGTTTATGTCAGTGGCCTCCACCTTCGGAAGCTCTCTTCTTATGCAGCTTCTCCTATCACTACAGGATGTAGCCCCTGATGTCTGTGGCACAGTTGTGTCACAGTCTAGCAGTACAGCTATACAAGGCCTTTATGGGTTTTTTTGTTTGTTTATTTTTGTTTTTGAGGACCCTGAGCTGATACAAGAGGCTTCAGGGTGTTTTTTTTGTTTGTTTGTTTTTGGTGGGGTCTTTTTTTTTTATGTCTTTCTCTAGTTGAAGGTTTTAAAGCAGCAGCTGAGTTCTTCCCCTCCTTCCCAATCTGCAGTAGTTCGCCCTGCTAGGCCCGCTCTGCATTTACATCAGTGGGTTACTGTCATAGTAAGAATTGCTCTGCCCCAGTTATGGTGTCTCCTGGATAAATAAGGTGTCCTGCTGGATCTTAAAAGGGGAAATATTCCTGTCCCCAGGGCATAATCTAGTGGTGTTTATACCCACCACAAAGTCCTCTTTGGCTGGTGATCCTCTACCCACTGCAGGCCAAGGAGACTGGGAGTCCTCAGAGGTTTTACTTGCCCCATGCACACATTTCTCCATATCCCTGGCAGCTTCCTGGGACTTTTTTTCCCCCCCCAGTAGAGGGCTGGCATCCTCAACCCACATGCCTGGAACTGGGCCCAGGCTGAGAGGCAATGTTGGGCCAGCAGGCATTGGGTTGAAAGGGTTTAAATCTTCTGCAACTTTTTCTTCGGGTGTCTTGCTATCCTTGTACACCAGAGGCAGTGCCTTTCTTTGTACCATCGACTTAGTTGCTGGCCTTGAGACTCTGTATCATGCAACTACATCAATACCTGCACATACATCTCTTCCATTTATTTGACCTCTAACACACCAACTCCAAATATAAGGTCATGTAATAATTCACAGTATCATTCAATGGCCCCAATTGCGCTACAGTTAAACATCAGCTTTTCCTTATTCATAGGTTTGTACCTGTATGTGACCCCATTGAGCCACGATCTTTCCCAAGAGGCTACCCAGTGGGATCAACACAGCATTGCCCATGTCTTCCAAAAACACAGAGATAGACAACCAGAGGGAATCCCCCAAACCAAGGCAGATGAATGGGAAACTAAAACAGACCACATGGGGGAAAAAAATTCCCTTGATTTTCTACTCCAATCTAACAGTGACTACTACACCATAGCTCCACAGATGTCCCCACGAAAGGGGAAAAGATGTGTAGAATCATGAGTCTTAGCTTGCACTCCAGATGGTCCATGTGATACGGCTTTACTGAGTTCAGTTTCCTTTTCTTCAAAGTAGCTCAATTAATGGAGCAGCTCAGAGAGTTCAGGGGGAGAAGGAGGGAATTCCCTAATGCAAAAAGATCCTTGGCAGCTGCTGGGATGTTTCCTCCTTTATTCACAGGGATAGTAGTTCACCTGAGACAAACTCACCCCATCTCCTAATTCTCCAGGAGTTGGCTCCCACCAAACTCATTAGCCATCTTGCATGCTCAGCATGGAAGGGGAGGCATTTGAAGTGCCAGACCTGCCTAAGAAGGCCAGAGCTGGAGGCACTCTCAAGTCCCACTGGGGTTCCACATTTGGTACTGAAAGGTCCAACCTTGACCCTGATGCCAGTCTAATGATGGCAAGGTTTGAAGAAGAAGAAGAAGAAGGAAAAAGTTTTATTGCTGTGCCAGCAAAGGAATAAAAAGGGGACTCCTTTCCCAGAGGCTGAGATTCTAACCCTTGGAGGGAACAGTGGGCTTTTCAAGAGGGGATACAAAGGCTGCACTCAGTTGTGCCCTGCTGGGAGTCATAGTTTATTGGTATCCTCAAGAGATAGCCATTTCTGTCCTGCTGGTGGCAACCCCAAAGTCTGGATTCCTTTATTCCTATGGTCCATGATCCAAAGGACAGAAAACTTGACTTAGGATAAGAAGAAGGTTAATCCTGCTTCTTCATGGTTAGAAAGGAGGGGAGAGAGAAGAGGAAGGGGGAAAAAACCCAATAGATCAGTTTTAAACCAAGTGACAGAGGCAGAGCATCAAGGGTGATATTCAGAGCATGAAGTGGACCCTGATCATGTTCAATTCTGTAATTCACACTTGGAGTGCAGCAATAGAGTTGGAACACATCAGGAGGGCAACTGGGATGGTAAAATAACCAGAAGGAGCAGAAAAGTTTTGAATGATTAAAATAAAAAGTTAAAGGTATTAATCTCAAAAATGGGTTAAGAGGACTATCTTAATTTTGGGTTGCTGGATTTTTTTTGGGGGGGGGACCTTCTTTTGTAAAGACTGTCACTAATAAAGAATTAATCTACTTAGTCTCATAGATTCATAATTAAGAAAATAAGAATAACCCTAACATTTGCAGTGGTCCAGAAAATAAGTGGTTCTTGTCATGAAATAGTGAGATCCTTCTCACTATGAATGTCTATATAAAGGTGTAGAACAACCTGTTGTGCTGTTCTTGTGATGATGCCATTGTAGTCTGGTATCAATGACCCATTTATTTCAGCTCAAGGGTCTGTGCATATTTGTTTGTTTGTTTTCTTTAATTTAATTAGTTGAGGTCTAATTTTCGAGAGTGAACATATGAAAGAACTAAGGGAGGTGCTGTCTCAATCCAAATATGTTCATTTAAATTGTGACTGTTTTTCTTTCACATAGTTTCTATTATTATTCTTAAAGCTTCCATAATTTTGATAAAATTATGTCATCAAATAAATTAAATAATATAAACAGAAGAAAAATAGAATTGAAAAATAAAATGTAAGGAAAATGAAAGTGAATTTTTCCTGTTCTAATTTCAAAGGGTAGTTGGTATTTTGGATAGCTGCTTAGAATTTTATTAATATCTTCTTATTAAAATATTTTTCATCATATTCAAGAACTTATTAAACTTCCTGTTCCTAAGGCCTGACTCAGGATTAGGGTAATATAAAGAAAATACATTCTGAGTAATTTAACCATTTTGTTCTGATGGAAGATGGAGCTGGGACACTAGGAGCATAAGTTATTTTATTTCTATGACATAGAAATTTATTTCTTATCAGAGTTAGAAAATTTTTACCTTCTTCCAAGTACCAAACAATAAATTTGGGGATTTATCTTGGGGGGAGGGTATTGGGGATTGAATTAAGGGTCACTTAACTACTAAACTACATCCCTAGCCCTGTTTTGTATTTTATTTAGAGACAGAGTCTCACTGAGTTGCTTAGTGCCTTGAAGTTGCTGAGGCTGGCTTTGAACTTACAACCCTCCTGCCTCAGCCTTCTAAGTTGCTGGGATTACAGATGCACACCACAGAGACTGGCTAAATTGGGGGATATTTTAAGAGACAGTTTTCTTGGGGCTAGGGTTGTGGCTCAGTGGTAGAGCACTTGCCTAGCATGTGCCTAGCATGGGTTCAATGCCCGGCACCACATGAAAATAAACAAATAAAATAAAGGTATTGTGTCCATTCATAACTAAAAAAATTTAAAAAAAAAAGAGAGAGGCAGTTTTCCACTTAGGATGTCTAGTGCAACAACAAACAACAAATCTGCATAATGTCCTTAGTTGTGATGACAAAGGACCAGAAAACATAGCCTTTGTGGTTGGCTGAGGAGTGTCTTTCCTCTGTGAGTTCTCAGGTTGCAAAATGGACCTTTTCCAGCAACTTGCGTTTACAGATGTGAATATTGCCAGAGTTGTCACTCCAGATGCTCTAGTGTGTCGGACCATCTGCACCTACCATGCCAACTGCTTCTTCTTCACGTTCCACACCAATGAATGGGATGAAGAATCACAGAGGCGAGTACAAAGGAGAGCGGGCCCACTGTTCTTAAAGTCACTTTTTGAGTTTTGAAAAAGTTTTGTTCATATCCTGCAAAGCACTAGAGCCTACAGTTTAAGCAGGTGCTTTCCTATCAGGGGCAGATTAATTGAGAGATTAGTGGAATTTTCTCTTATCTGACACAAATGCACCATTGAAAACAAAACGTCTGGCGTGGGAAAGAAATGAGCAGAGCCTTTCTGATGGGTCTTGATGTTTTGTATGAGCTGGAGGTCAAAGCTCCTTGCTGGCTGTGTATCTTTGAAGCCTGTGGACTCTCATTATTTTCCATCCTAGAAATTAGAGCCCTGTTTATCCTGATCAAGGTTCTGGACTGACCTCTATACCCTTACATAACCCGGTTTTTTCTTTACACACATGAGGGTAATAGAAGGGTAATTAATTCTTTGATGTTTGGGGGGTTTTATTTTTCCAAGTAGAAAGTGGAACTTAATTATGCTCTTTTTAGGGTATCTGTGCCTATTAATTTTCACCACAGGGAAAGGTGGCTTGATTTACATTTAATCTCTATAATTTAGTAGAGTCCCATGGTCTGACTTACTTTGAAGAGAATTTCTCAAGTGAATAAAATGTGCAGAGCTGTTTTTCTGATGTGAGCTGCTTTTGCACTTGCCTGATGCTTTTAACCCATTTTGGGCCATGGCTCCAGATGTGGAAGTCCTATATAAGCTTAAATAAAGTGTGCAACATGTAACAATATAGTGATGATTTAATGATACTATGATAATATTAATTACTATAATAATACATATCTGGATTATGATTTTCAACCTATTTTAATGCACCTGAGTTAATTTCATTGGAATATTCCAGAATCGAGAACTTGGAGACTTAATGGATTAATGCATCTTTCTTTCTCTCTCCCATTTTTCTTTAAATAGAAATGTCTGTTTCCTAAAAACTTCTGTAAGTGGGACACCAACTTGCGTTACTCTTCAGGAAAACACTATATCTGGACATAGCCTTTTGTCCTGCAAAAGAACTTTGCCTGGTAATGGGATTCACTGATCATAGTACATGTGACAAATCATATGACTTTCTAAAATGTAACAATGATGAAACAGTCCTTGAGGCACCAGAAACTTGTGCCTATGATTTGTTGCTTTTGTGATTTTTTTTTTCCTTTTTACCTTTTATGTTTATTCTTGGCCCAGAACCATGCCACAGCAAAATTTACTCTGGAGTTGACTTTAGAGGGGAAGAACTGAACATGACCTTTGTGCAAGGAGCAATTGCTTGCCAAAAGATGTGTACAGAGACAGTTCGCTGCCAGTTTTTTACTTACTCTTCACTCCCAGAAGACTGTAAGGAAGAGAAGTAAGGGAACATTTATTTCCTGATTGGCAGGATAAATTCATCCTTTTCTGTGAGGCTTTAATTTTACACTGTTCATTTGATGCAGGTGTAAATGTTCTATGCGATTATCTTCAGATGGTTCCCCAACCAGGATTACACATGGGATCCAAGGGAGCTCTGGTTATTCTTTGAGATTGTGTGAAACAGGAGACAGCTCTGGTGAGTATGGGTCACTTTGTCATAGAACTGTAAAGGGATGCCCCCGTTATTTTGATAGCTTGATTTTTCTTCTGTAACAGAATTACACATCTCATTTTCCTTGGTAGATGGGGACTCATTCATGTCTAATTCTAAACATTAGCTTCAAAACTTTTCAGTCTGCACAAAAACAAACCCACGCATTGTGGGAGGAACAAATTCTTCTTTGGGAGAGTGGCCCTGGCAGGTCAGCCTACAGGTGAAGCTGACGAGCCTAAGCCACCTGTGTGGAGGGTCAATCATTGGAAACCAATGGATCCTGACTGCTGCCCATTGCTTTGATGGGTAAGTCTTGCATATGTCTTATCTTGCCTGTTCATTTTGAAAAATGTGCAGTTATTTTTTCTGTCATCATGTGACTTTATTAATGGAGATTTATTCTGTCTTCTATTTTAAAAAAAATTTTATTTAAACCTTTTAACTGATAAATATGAAAGTATATCTATTTATGATGTACCACGTTATGTTTCAATGAATGTATGCACTGTGTGATTTTTAAATCAGATAAACCTTTTGATCTCATTTATTTATTGTTTAAAAGAAAATGTTCGAAAACCTTTCTTCTAATCTTTTGAAATATGCAGTACATTATCATTTGATAGTGGCCCTATTGTGCCACAGTATTCAAGAATATCATCCTCCTGTATGTCACTTAGTTCCTGCTGATCAGGACTACTCTTCCCAGCCCTTGGTAATCACCATCACTCTCAACCTCCATGAAATCGACATATAAAAGTTCCTCATGGGAGTGAGATTATGCATATCTGCCTTTCTGTGCCTACCTTACTTCACTTAATACGATAATCTCCAGGTTCCAACATGTTGTCACAGTTGACAGGACACCATCCCTTTTAATGGCTGAATAGAATTCTGTTGTGTGTATGTACCACATTCATCTGCTGGTGGACACCTCGATTGCTTTCATGTCTTGGCTATTGTGAATAGTGCTTCAGTGAACATGGGTGTTCTTATTAATATTAATATTAATTTCATTTCCTTTGGATGAATACCCAGTAGTGGGATTGGTGGATCATAAAATGGTTCTACTTTTAATTTAATTTAATTTACCTTCATCCTGTCTTCCATAGTGACTGTATTAACTTACACTCTCACCAATAGTGTGCAAGGTTTCCCTTTCTGACATGTCTTTGCCAGCACTTAATATCTTTTATCTTTTCAATAGTAACCATTCTTATTAGAATGAGATAATATCTCATTATCGATTTAATTTGTATCTTCCTCATGATTAGGGATGTCAAAGACATTTTAAAGCAGGAATGACATTGAAAATATGTAGCAATTTTATAGGGTCCTGACCAGGCTGATCCATCAGAACAGAGGGTGACCTATTTTTCAGGATTTATGCCCCTGGGTGAATAATCACTCCTACTTAAAGAGAAGCTTAAAAAATATTCCAATTGCTGCCTCCTCCACCCACCACACCCTAAATGTTTTCTTCAAAGATTTTTTTTTTTAGGCCAATAGAAATTTCACTTTTTACTCTTTGATTCACAAAGATATCAAGTAGTAATAAGTAGAGCAAAATTCTGAGAGTTTATGAATACATATTTCAATGTATATAATTTAATACAATATTTCTATTTTATCAAGCCAACAATACAATATGACAGAGTTTTAAAGTTCTAAAAACTTTAGACTGTCTTAGAAAAGGATCTGAGATCTGTCATTTATTATCACCATGACCATGGGCAATTTGTAAATCTTTATGAGTTTTATTTTATTTAGAATATGAATAATAACAATAGCTAATTTGTAATGTTATTGGAAGGATTAAGTGATACGCTTAAATGTTTAGCACTGTACCTGGAACATAAAAATTACTCAGAAAATATAAGCTGTACCAGCTGCATTCAATGAGAGGAATAAAAATGGAAAAAGCCTATGATGAGCAAAAAAGATCCTAAAAGATGCTAAATCACTCTCAAAAAGAAAAAAAGTATTTTTATTTTAGTAAAATTCACCCCTTCTCCTGGCTAAAAAGGCAGGGTCCAGATTGCTGCTTATGAGGATTGAGCATACTGCCATGAAAACAAATCAGTCAACGAACAGCTGGGTAGCACAAGGCTTCTGCACAGGGTGAGCTTCAGTTAGCTCTCTGCAGCACTTGGCCTTGCTAAGGGTAGATGGTTGGCTCAAAAGAAAAAGCTCCAAGACAGGAAACTGTATTCTCCTTTTTGTTGAATGCACTGAAATTTGGGATGAAGAAATTTCCATTCTTGAAGACTTAGTGTTGTGAGTTTTAAGGGGACAATAAACATGGGAACTTTGTGATTTAATTGAAAAAAAAAAATTGCACCTGACAGCTCCAGTGTTTCTTTTAGTATTTTGTGTGAGCATTTCTTGCGCACACTTCATGATGGTAAAATTTTTCAGATCTTTGCACAAAATAGAACTATAAATTTGGCTTTCTTTGATATGCATTCATCTTTTGAGCAGCCGATTTAAATGTTCATACTTTGTAAAAGTATAGATTTTAAATAAGAAGTCCCCCTAATGTGGCCTATTTTCAATCAATCTGACTCTTTGATAGTTTTGAATCTAATGAAAACAATTGCTTTCAGGTTTGGTGAACTAAGCTTGATTTCCCCACAGCTTCTCAGAATGGGAAAACAATATTCTTCTACTTTTACTTGCAGTAAACATGTTGTAAAAACATAAATGTGCATTTTCAATATTCGAAACTAAACCTTAAGAGATCTACTACTGCTGCTGTTGGTGACAAATTGCTAGAGGAGGGATCAGGAAATAAATCCAAAAGAAAAAAAAAAAGAAAAAAGGATTCCCTGTCCTCTATTCGTTCGTTTATTTATTTATTTTGAAAGAGAAAGTAAGAGGGGAAAGGAGTAATATCATTTGTGAGTCTCTCCCATTCCAACAAAGAATTTGTTTTTCTCTCTAGGATTTCCTTACCAGATGCTTGGCGCATTTACAGTGGCTTTGTGAAACTGTCCAACATTACAAAAGAAACTTATTTCTCACGAATAAAAGAGATTATTATTCACCAGAAATATAAAATCTCAGAAGCTGGTCATGACATTGCCTTAATAAAACTTCAGGCGCCCTTGAATTATACTGGTATGCGGCATATTTAAGGGAAAACTACATGACTGTATTGTATTGGTTTAAAGTTTCACAGCATTTCTAGTGAGGGGACAGATCTGGAGAGACTATTCTCTAGTTGGTGGAGTTGTGGGGAAGGAGAGTGGTTGTGAAGGTAGGGAAGATCCTATGGCTTGACCTAATATATCTTTCTACTTAAGGGGACAAGAAATGTTAATTATTTTTTTCATGGAGGGATGCAATTGCAGATACTGCTTATGAGGATTGAGCATACTGCCATCTGGGAACAGAAGAGTAGCAGAAGTACCATTGCTAAGGCTTAGGAATATTAGGGATATAGGAGGATAAGTGGAACCAGATGTTAATTTCCAGGAATCACTTGGGTAGAGAACAGAATGATGCAGAAGGCAGCTCTGGGAAGACCAGACCATCACCGTTGGCTTTGGAGGTACTGTGCTCCACAGGAGCTGAATGCCTGCTAACACAACTCATTGTTAATGTCCATTCACAACTATGTGACCTCCAGCAACTTGCTGAGCCTCCTTGTACCTCAAATTTCCTCGTCTATAAAATTAGGACGATGATTTCCTCAATGGTTTATTATAATAATTAAGTAATGAAATGTGGTAAAACACTTCCTGAAACAGTGTAGACACTTTGTAGACACCACTATTAACTAGTCAAGCATACACTGAATAAGACACAAGAACTGCTAAATGCTTTTGATGGTAAATTTGCACTGTTGAGTTTTTCATTTGTTCTGGGAAATTTTAATGTCAAAATGACATGGAAAAATTATGCTGATGGTGAGAAATTTTCTTAAATCATGGATCTGAGAAGTTGTGCAGAAAGCAGGAGGGTCATTCTCCATATTCTTCCGTGGTAAGAAAATATAGGAAAATATAAGGATGTATTTTTAAAGTCAATATCTATAGCTTTATTTAACTCAACTCTGGTTTTAAAATTTGTTTCAGAATTCCAAAAACCAGTATGCCTACCTTCCAAAAATGATGCAAATACAATTTATACCAACTGTTGGGTAACTGGATGGGGCTTCGATAAAGAAAAAGGTACAGCCTGGCATTCTAAAGTTTGCTCCTGAAGCCAGTCTTATAACACATAAGTAGATCAAATTAGTCAGTTTCTGTCTAAAAATCTTGTCCAAACTTATGATCTTTCTACTCTATTTATTACCAGATGTTTGTTCAGTGATTTTTTTTTTTTTTTTTTGGTGGGGGGCAGGATACTGGAAATTGAACCCAGGGGCACTTAACCACTGAGCCACATCCCCATTCCTTTTTAACATTACGTTTAGCGACAGGGTCTCACTGAGTTACTTAGGGCCTTGCTAAGTTGCTGAGGCTGGCTTTGAACTCGCAATCCTCCTGTCTCAGCCTCCTAAGCTGCTGGGATTACAGACATGCACCATTATGCCCAGCTGTTCAGTGATTCTTGAGAAGATACTTTTGCTGCGTCCTGAAAAACTTTATAAGCTAAACTTTTAAGCATCTTATTTCATAATAAAGATGATTTGCTTGACTGCACAAAGAGCAGGGCCCCTATAAGGTCAATAAGCCCACTGAAGTGCAACTCATTCTCAGTATCAACAGTGTTCCTGACTCTCCTATTATGTTCTCCCTTGATATTTTGGCCAGTAGCACAGGCCAAAATGACAGCCTTTCTTTATAACCAATTCTTAGTATTTTTTTTCCATGCATCCTTCCTGCAATCTGGTGATGCCTATGAGCTGCCTCACTAGTCATGTTTACATAATAAGTCACACACAACTAGAAAGAAAGCCAATTATATTGCAATACAATTATCAAAATACATCAAAAGATGTGATAGTGATATATGTGCTTTTTAATTGGTGTATTAAATAAAAGCTGTTTTAATATCAGCCATAATTGTGCAATAGTGAGGAACACATATATTTTCAGTTATCTTCCTGAAACACCTAAACATCTGTAATCCCTGTTGGTGACCAAGTTAATGGTGCTGCTGATACTACTGTGTGTGTGGTCTACATTTATAATTGGAGGGCATGTTAGACTTGGAGATTAGAAAATATAAAGATGTATATTTTTTTCTGAGTTTATGCACCATGTGATTCTTTTATAGACTCTAGGTGAAGATCCCCTGCTCATAGATACTTGGAGTATTTCGATTGCCCTCGAACTTTTCTAGAAACACAAGATTCTTCCTTTCCAAAAATTAAGTTCCCCAGTAACACAATAGGAAAAAGTATTTGTGTCATTCTTTGCAAAAAAAAAAAGATAGCTGACTAATCTTGCTCTCTCTTTCTTGAATCAGCCCTGAATTCAGCTAATTCAAAATTTTAACATTTTTTTCACTAGAACCTTGAGAGAGGAAGAGTGAAAGTAACTTTAACTACACAAATAAAACTTCCAATGTATATCCAATGGACTTGGGTAGAAATCAAGTTATTCATAAATAAATTGTACTTCATGGAAAATGTGTTTGTATTCAAAGTACAACATACTCCTCTGTTGTCAGAGGTTTGGGATTTATTTCACAAATGAAGTATTTTTGTATTATAATTTGAATATTTAAATATTAAAATATAAGAATGCCCAGATTGGTATTGTAGGCGATAAATGTATGAAAGAATTTCTGAGGGACTTCTGTTGAGAGGATGGCAGGTAACATGCTCAGCCTGGGTTATGGGTTGTAGAAATGAAGGCCAATATAGGGTGCTCTCTGCATGTTCTCTGTCTCTGTCTACCTTCTGGACATTTACTGTCTTTATCCAAAAATATGGCCCTGATGAGAAATACACCACCCTGCTTTGCTTTAAGACTTTAATTTTATTTCCATATTTATTGCATTTCCTCCTCTGAAGTTATATGTATTGATTACTTTGTAGGTAAAATCCAAAATATTCTACAAAAGGCAAATATTCCTTTGGTAACAAATGAAGAATGCCAGAAAAGATATAGAGATTATGTCATAACCAAGCAGATGGTCTGTGCTGGCTACAAAGAAGGGGGCAAAGATGCTTGTAAGGTATTGCATTGGGGTGGGAAAATACCAGTTTATGTGAGGTAATTCATTTGAAGGTACTATTTTCCAATGGCACATTTCATGACAGGTTTTTGAAAATTTAGAGACAAATGATCTGATGATTTTATAACCCTTTAACAAATCAAATATACATATAATGTACATAAGATATTATTTCTGACATATATGTCACAATCTGTACATGTGCATGTTAAACTTAAAGAGAACAACTGTATATACTATAATAATACTAAAACATAAGAACATTAGATTTCTTTGACTTTGGGATAAGGTTGTAAATAATTTCTAGATTGTAGTTGAAAATCTCAAAATGGATGAGGGAATAAGTTGAAAATGCCACCCTGCACTGATTTTTACTACACACAACAGCTAACAAGGAACACAAGAGGGCCTGAGAAACTTCCAGAAACTGAGTGTGCTGTATGTGCTATGTGAAGTGGGACTTCATAATTTTAAAGGCAACACTTATTTGAATCGCCTCCATCGAAACCTTCTACCATTTTATTTTTCTACCCTCTGTGACACAGGGAGACTCCGGTGGTCCCTTAGTCTGCAAACAGGGTGGAATGTGGCAGTTGGTGGGCATCACCAGTTGGGGGGAAGGCTGTGGCCTCAAGGAACAACCTGGCGTCTACACCAAAGTTGCTGAGTACGTGGACTGGATTTTAGAGAAAACGCAGAACAGCGACAAAAGTGCTTTGATGAAGTCATCGGCATAAGGAGGCTGGACAGTGAAGAGAACTCAGGGTTGTTTGAAGGAGAACCCAGGGTTGTAACTCTAGTTTTACATCCTGGGATCTAGTCAAGTTCTAAGCCTTGGAGTCCTCACCTGAAAAACATGGAGAGGAGTGTCTACCTTGTGTCCTTGTGGTAAGGATAAAAAATAAAACAAACAAACAACAACAAAAACAGGAGGTACAACAGCTGTGGGGACAATGCCTTGCTGAGATTTGCTTTCAGTATTCAGTAACCAGGAGCTCCTAATGGGAGATCACTGAAGAACTCTGCAATTTTGTTGTGAAATAGAACACCAAAAGAGCACAATTAGAGTGTTTCCTTCTGGTTTTGAAACACAACTGACAACAAGTGACTCTGGATTGAAGCACAGTGCTTGGGATCATCCTGATCTTCCTGCTTCCCCTGGAACTCAATATGTCTCAGAGGTATAACTTGTCCGTGCCTCACCTGCCAACTCATTAGGACCTAATGCTGCCTGTGTCCTTTGGGTGAAGAGCTAGGAAGCTCAAGTTTTGTTCTGCCCAGTGGATGAAGGAGATATGTGTAACATTCCCTTTGACAATAAAAAGATGGTTTCATTTCAGGCCCCTATCTCTGTGACCCCAGCATTACCACACATGTCCAGTGTTGATATGCAGATGAGGATTGAAGGGCTGCATTTTCCTGGTTGCAGAGCCTGCAATAGACTCACTGCAGAGCTCTCCTGGAAACCAAGAAATCTGCTTTGCAAAGAACATTAACCCTGGCAGTGGATATCAGTGAATATTAGTTTCTGCAATAGTAATTCAAGAAGCATTGTTAGATATATCATGTATCATGGAATACAGACAGGTAAAATCATGGTCGTGAGTAGTCATAAGTGACTTTGGAAAGAATGATATAAATCCTTATGCAATGGAAATTCCAGACTTGTTGGCAAGTCCCACAATTGATTGGAGGTACCTTGATTCATTTCAGTTAAGCGGGTTAACATTTACACAGAATTGACCATTTACAAAAGATTATGTAAGCTAGGTAGAAAAATAGAAAAGTGAAGTTTTCTAAAAGTGATTGACTTTTTCCTTTCATACTCAAAGACACATTGACTGGTAGAAAGAGCTAAAGATGGAGAGGCTGAAAGAAAGTCATGAGGTCCAGGTTATCCACAGACCATACAATGGGAAAATGAAGGGTCAAGAATTTAGTCCAGAAGCAAAATGGTTTTTGTAAAACCTGGCTAGATTGCATGAATTGATTTTTAAAACGTATTATAATTTCAACTTTTACTTTTGATTGCAATAAAGTATTAGTCTTGTTCTGCGTGGAAGTTGTTTATATTTAAAAGGGAAGAAAATGTTTGCAATAAAATCTTTTATCTCTGTTTTTTTTTTTGTGTGTATTGATAATTACAAAGGGCTTAAATAGGACTTTGGAGTGTCTACAGGATAAATGCCTGGGCTTTGGTTGCTCAAGGAATGGCCTTGTTTGGGCAAAACAGAGAATTTTGAAATGTGGGACTTTCCTAAGTCATAAATGATCATTTTAAGGTTTCCAATTGGAGTCTCTTGGTACTGGGATGTTCTCTTTGGCTTTCATCATATGTTCATGGTTAACAGAGGAGCCCTTCAGACAGTTAAGAGCCTCATGGGACCTAGAAGCATGTAAGAGGCTAAGAAGTCAGAGGTTGGGATGATGTCACCCTCACAAGGAACAGTGAGGGTAGGAGGCATGGGTCTTTAGTAGTTCCATCCAAGAAAGGGTGGTGGCAGAGTCAACCCTGAAAACTAGCACTGCTCTTGCCCTGTGCCAACAAAATGCACATGGAATACATAGTGCTGCACATACCATCTTACAGGAGGGTAACCAACCAATGGCTCCAACATCTGTCTCTGATTAAACTTGAAACTTTTTCTTGTAATTATCGTTAATGTCTAACTTCTCCACCAAACTGTGAGCAACTTCAAAGGAGGCTTTCTCTCATTCTACCACATATGAGAGGACGTGCTGAGGTAAATAGCTAATGAATAAATCCATTCTTATTATAAAGCTGAGTCAATGGAGGTTTAAAGAGGTAAAAAGATTAGCTCAAGGTCACTGTCAAGGACACAGCCAGGACTAAGCTTAGCATTCATATCCCCAGATGATGCCTTCTAAGACTATATCATGTGATCTCATACTAAAAGGATAAAAGAGGGCAGAACCATTTTATGACCATCATCAGTTATTATCATTATTATCCAAGACCATTGTTCTCAACCAGGGATGATCTGACAATATTGACATTTTGGTTGTTACAACTGGTGGAGGGGGTGTAACCAACTATAGCAGGTAGAGGCCAGGGATGCTGATGGATATGCTGCAATACCCAGGACAGCCCCCACAACAAAGGACAATCTGGACCCAATATCAATAATTCCTGCATTGTTGCAACCCTGATCAAAGTTGAGTATCAAAACTTGATAATAGGGTTGGGGTTGTGGCTCAGTGGCAGAGTGCTTGCCTAGCATGTGTGAGGCACTGGGTTTGATTCCCAGCAGCATGCAACAATAAATAAAATAAAGGTCCATTGACAACTAAAAAAATATTTTTAAAAACGATTTAAAAAAAACCTTGATAATAAAAAGGAGGAATTTCAGGGACAGAATCAAGATGGAAGTGCAGGGCATGGTAGGCCATGCCCTTTCCAAAGGGAGTTTTGATGAGAGAGAGTATAGGCACTCCAAGAAGAAGTGGGTTGTGGCTATGAGTGAGAAGAGGACTCCACCAGGAGACAGGATTTTAGGTCACCATATGCCCAGCACATCTCTCACCTATGTTCCTAACTTATGATTTACACTTAAATCTCTTTTGACTAAATTTTGAATTTTTTTCTTGTGATTTTTGCCTAGTAATTTCTGAGTTTGGTTGGGCTTAAAAATATTTCACAGAAAAAAATAATCACCTTTACAATAAAAGTAGTTTATCAGAATTTTAAGCTGCAATGCATTCGCTGAGAAGAATTTTTAGAATTCCTACTGTCAGTTTGAGAGAAAGTTCTATTTTTAAAAAATTTCATGCAGTTAAGAATCTTATTATACTTTGATTTGAATAGAGAACAATATTTCAGAGTTCTTATGCTACTTCAAAGGCTTTAGAGATTTCATTAACTAGCTAAATCAAATTTAGGAGAATCTGGTTTTCCAGTGAAGCATTTCTCACATTTAAAATCTTTGATTATCTTAATAGGATTGGAGAATTATTATTATCTTCTTTTTATAGGACTTTAGGGGAAAAATGGAGGTTTATGGGAGAAACCATATAGGAGGAAAGGTCTATAATCTTACATATCATGGCCATGATAACCTTCCCTAGCATAAGTTTGCCGTTCTGTTTGAGTCTCATAAAAGGCCAGACTTTATCTATATGAGCCTTTTGTGTAGCTGGAATGTACTTCATTTTAAGTGGGAAACTCAAGATAATAACTAAGGACTTTTTATGCCAACATGGGTTACAATGCATTGGCAATAGATCAAATAAAAACAGAGGAGCAGCCTTTGCATACAAAAAAAAAAAAAAACAGGACATGAGCACTTCTTTTAAAGACCTAAGTTCAACAGCCTCTCCCTTGTACCTTTCTGTCCAAAGGAACAAAGGCTGTCTTTTCTCTTCCTTTCAAAAATGCTCCCATCAATTTATAGCTAAGTTTCAAACATACCTTTACTTTGCTGCCTATTTTCTCATTGTCTTCTAGTAAGTTCTTTTTTGCCCCTATATTTCCCATTCTGTAGGACTTTGTGAAAGGGTTTTTTGCCCCTAATATTTCCCATTCTGTAGGACTTTGCGAAAGGGTCGGGCAGTATTTCCCCATCTTGGACCATCTTTCCACTTAGTCTTTGGCCTCGAGGGCTTGGGTAGCCTGACCTGCAGAAACTATTCAGAAAGTCTAGGACAGCATTGCTATGATATACGGGAAATGAGATTGCCTCTCTATGCCCTCAAATATTGAAATGCTTAGAGTCAACTGGTAACATTGTCAACTGTCAACCTTCAGAAACTATTCAGAAAGTCCAGGGCAGCATTGCTATGATATACGGGAAATGAGATTGCCTCTCTGTGTCCTCAAATATTGAAATGCTTAGAGTCAACTGGTGACATTGTCTAGGTTCACCAGATCACACTCACAGTCCCTGTACAAAGTCCAGTGTTCCCTTTGGTACACATCGCTTCTGCATGATCTCTAATGGGGACAAACTCATATGTTCATTTCTGACCTGGTCTCCAGAACATTTTTGAAAATTATGATTCCATTTGTAAAATCTCAAGATTTTTTTAGCTTTCCTATGGAAAATTGGGAACTTTCTCTGAACCATAAAATTAGCTTTCTCTAAAATGCATTTAAATGGGACATATTGCCCCTCCCCACCTTTTTTGTTGGATCATCACAACAGAAGGGCTAGTGAGTGTCTAATGAGGACTGAGTCCCAGAGAAATAAAGCAGCATGGCCCAGGACCCACAGGTAGCTGGTTTATAGTGTAGCTACCTGGTGTTTGCTCAAGTGACATGACCAGTAAACTAACAAATAGGTCTGGGTAATAGAGGACTGGATTATCACGATGTCCACAGAGCTCTCAGCCCTTCTTCAAGTTCCATAAGAAGGGTCATAACTGGAACACAGGGTGGGAGGCTCAAAAAAATACTTGTCAGCTTTGTTTTCCATAGGTGGCAGCAAGCCACCACTCCTGGAAGCCCCCCACCTCACCCCACCCCACCCCTGCTGTACAGGCTCCTTGTCCTTCAAGGAATTGAGGTATTGTTTTATTATTGCTTGTCACATGATTCCTAGTTCTCCATTTGTGTCTCAATATCAATATACCCCCCCCCCCCCCAAAAAAAAAAACTATGAGACTTTTATATTTTCTTCTTAAAACAATTTTTAGACAGTGTTCATAAATGAGATAATAAAGAATTTGAATTCTTAGAACTAATCATATCTGCATAGGCTTCCGAAATGTGATGTTATCC